GCCTTGCGGTCCAAGGGACTCGCAGGAGTCTCCTCCAGCACCACAATTCAAAGGCCATTAGTAGCTAAAATGTGCACAAGTCACTGTCCATTTTAGAGACAGTAGTATGTGAAAGAAACCCTGTCTCAGCCCATTTCCAATCCTCATATCGGAAGTGTGCAAGAAATCTGTCCAGCTTAATCAAACCAGATTTCCCGGTTTGGTACATCCCTAACTGGAGCAGGCTTTCAGAATCCCCAGGTGGAATGGCTGGAGCTCCTCTTGATGGTCTATTTACTTTGTGGGATGTGGAGATGACTTGGGCTTTAGTCACAATTGTTCCTAAAATGCCCCATTTTGTAATTCAAAGCCCATTTAACACCTTAGATTTCTGGAGAGGTACTGGCGATGAAGTAGGTGGAAGAAAGCTCAGTGTGAATTTGAATGCAGGTAAATGCTCCTTATCAAACATACAGTGGCAGTGAAGAAGGAATAATTCTTCTCCATTACTGCACCTGCAAGATACTACCAAATGGAGCTGTTATAGGCATTTCACCATCCATACGACTTGGCCTGCAGCACGATAAACTGTAGAAGAACCTTCCAAGGCCTCCTTTAGTGATATGTTTGCTTAACACTGCAAGGATAAAATCATTCATATTTGATAAGGTTTCCACAGGTCTGTCAAGCAGTGTGCCCAGAATGCCATCTAGACATGTTTCATGTCTTAAATGTCAGTTGTTATGTTCTGAGGATGTGGACAAGATGACTGTGGCCTGCCATATGTCTCCTCAGTTCTTGCCCATCCTAGCTTAGAAAATCTAGCCAAAGATGGTGGATTTGTGGTCCAGGAGGTGATACATGCCTCCTTACAAGTGCAATTCCAGTCACTTCAAAGATGACACTGTGGTGTTGGTATAAGATGCTTTATTGTATTTTTCTGATGGCATGCACCTGCGAAAGCCTCATAAAGTGACTCAGCATTAGCTGGGGAGATGACAGATGAGCCTACTGGTAAGCCAGATGAATGGTTGATGTAACTTGTTTGGCCAGGAGGGTGGAGATCAGTTTGCCTTTTCTGTGTCCAAAATGACAAATGAAGAACAGGATGTTCTGTTAATGGATAAGACAAGGGCCTCTGTACACTGAGTGGACTCTGGGCTCCAGCTGGGAAACTGCTTGAGGAAAACTGGCAGCATTGTGTCTTGGTTTAATTGAAATTAGGATGTGACTTTTGATAAGAATGAGTAATTGGGTTTGAGGGTCACCTTGTCCCCATGGAAATTGAGGCAAGGTGGCTTCTGTCCTAGGATGCAGAGTTCAGAAGGGTTGTGTACACAGGTTACAGTGACCAAGAATGCTTTTTCATAGTTGGAAGATGGAGTTCTGTCCTGGTCAGCATTCTGAAGTATTTAGCAGTTAGCTGGGTTTCTACCACAGAGAGAATCCATGAGGGAGTTAGTCTGTTGATGGCATTGTGCTAGGCTGATACTGTTGCCAGGTATGCTCTGATGGATGTAAGGCTAACCTCTTTAAGTGATAGAAGGAAGTCATGAAGGACTAGTATGTCACAGGATGCTGCATTCTGTTTGACGACAAAGTTCTGACATTTTGCCATTTTATTGCATAGGAGGTATGGGTTTGCAGGAGGCTATACCTGGGTGGAAAATGCATGATGCTGAGTACTCTCCACATGGTGAGGCAAAGGAATGTCAGATCTGGATGTCAGATCTGTCTGTTGCTCACTGAAATGAATGACTAGTCTGAATGGAAAGTGCTAGGAAAGTAGCAGCAGCACAAACTGTTAACTGCTGGAGCCACTAGAAAGTGATTATAATGAGTTCCATCATCCTGGATCTTGTATATGCTTGTGATCACTGAATGGAAGGTGATGATTAGGCAAGACCCCCAATGTGTGAGGAAGGGGAAGAACAGAAGAAACCTGAATATAGAAAGAACTTATTTTTTTTGCTTGTGAGATAGAGAAAAGTCCAAAAAACTGCTTTCACACCAGTGCAAAGGAAGGAACTGAGGTGGCAGCCATGCCTGGAGCATGCACAGAAGAGGATATGAGACACCTGCCAAAAAAAGTCCTGTTTAACTCTCGAAAGTTCCAAATGCTGTTCTGTGTAGTTGCATAAACCATGTAAGTGAGTCACAGAGACCACAAAGTAGAATGTACTTTCCCACCCTAAAAAGGCAGATTGAGTTTTTCTCTCCGCCAGAGTTCTCTACTACAGATTTTTTTTCCTTTCAAGAGAAGGGAAAAAGAGAGAGCAGTCCAACCAGCCACTATATTGTACAAATATTAAATACTTGGAAGACACTTCCAGCTCTTGGAGAGTTTTAAGCTTTCAGCAGTAATGTTCACAGGGTATAATTAATTTCTGGGTCAAGTGCTTCCTGGACTGCCGCTTGTGCCCTCCAATTGATGCGGGGTTATTTAGTATGCCTTCCTGGGAGAGTAGACCAGAGTAAGAACTATCCTCTGTCTCACTACCAGCCTTTGAGCAGCCATTTCCAGGGAAGTATTTTCTCTATGGTTGTTGCAGCCATCCAGGAAAAGCTGGCTGCTACGGGGTCGGTAGTCCTGCTACGTCTCATTGTCCTGCTCTACTCAAGGGAAAAAAACTTGCCTGCCAGACTAGTTGCCCAGCAATGTTCTTTCGCAGGGGATTTCTTCTGATGGTGCTAGAAGCAGTGCATCAACCCCCGAGGGTGACAACAAGAATGCAGTCGTTTTGAGATCACTGGTTTAGGAAGGAGCAAGCATACTACATTATTTTGCTCAGTGTCATGTGCATCCAGACACTGGGCAAGCAGGTGTAAATTACCCTTAATGAAAGAAGGCAGTAAGTAACTTCAGGTGAGAGTGGGGTTATCGACCGAGAATAATTTGGAGCAAAGGATGATCGGGGGTAGGAAGTATTATGAATGCAGTCTTGCCAGGGTTTGTAAGGTACTGATATTTTTCTTTAAAAGCCATTTAAATTTCTCTAGTAAAACTTTTGCTGCAAATTATTTTAACATTATTTTTGAGTGCTATATGTGGCTTCTGTATTTCATAGTTTTATTATTATGCATGTGGCTTAAGAATGTTTCACTTTCAGCTGCCATATTCAAATTGGCTTACTTTCCAAAGCATTTGATAAAGTGTTTCACATTTTTCCTTCTCTATTTCCATGTAGATTTTGTAAGTTTTTTCAGGAGGGTTTGGATTTTATGTTTGATTCTTTGAAACAAGGTAGTATATAATGATGGTTAAAAATAAATATATAAATGGAAGGCTTCTAGGAAGCAGCCAGGTTAGTGTATGGTGCGGGCAGCCTGAAGTCCACAGGCAGCTCTTGGAGCTTGCAGGTACCCAAGGCACCACTGTCATCTCCTCCCCACAACTCCATGGCTGTGCTGGGGGAGGCGTATGAGGAGAATCATCCCAATGGCCTACCTTCCACAGTACAACTGTGCTCTGACCAGCCTTCTAAACAACTACACTATTTCAATAGGAAATATAGAGCACAGCAGAAGTCTTTCCTATTTAAAGACTGTCCTCGCCATGCTTGCTCTGTTCCATAGGGAGACTTGACGTGGTTTCAGCATGCAAGGACAGGAAGTTCCAAGTTCCTCACTCCTGCATGCTGAGATAAAGCAGGGAGGAAGAGAGTCTGAGTCTGTGCATGTGTGTGCATCCCTGTGAGAGTGAGGAAGGTGGAAAACTGCTCTAAGGACTTGTCTGCATTGCGTGCAAGTGTTTGCATGTGCTAAGCATAAGTTGTCCACCTGTGGATCATGAGGTTTGGGCAACTAGTGCTAACAAGAAAGATCACAGGTAGCCAGGTCTACCCTCACAGTGGGGACTGAAGGCAGAGAGATTGGCTCATATTGTTCAGAGTAACAAGCCATCCAGACTTCATCAGCGGCTGGCCTGACAACAGCATCTCCCTAGTCCATGAGTCCTCAAACTACGGCCCACGGGACGGATCTGGCCCGTCATGCCATCCATCCGGCCTGTGCTGCTGTTCACCGCCCGCCCGCCCGCTGCGCAGGCAGGGAGGTGGTGGCTCGCTCGCTCAGAGATGGTCTCCAAGCGAGCAAGCCGCCGCCACTGCCTGCCTCCCGTACACACGCGCTTGCTACTGCCTCACCGTGTGGACAGGGAGGTGGTGGCTTGCTCACTCAAAGATGGTTTTGGACTCACTGGGAGATCTCCGAGCGAGCAAGCCGCCGACGCACGTGCCTGATGCTGCCTCGCGCGTGCCTGACGGCACCTCACCGGCCCGCGCCCCCAGGCACCCTCCCCTCACCGGCCCACGACAGTCACCGCAGCCTTTCAAGTGGCCCCCTATTCAAAAAGTTTGAGGACCTCTGCCCTAGTCCCTACTGTCATTACACTGGAAGTGCAATACTGTTGTGGCCCTTTATATACCACAGTAGCTGTGTGTGTGAAACTCCCATTCTGCCTCATCCCTCACCTGGCATAAGCTCTCCTCTGTGTAAAGTGAGGAATACTGTGTTGTTACACATGAATAAGTAGACTGCTGGGCAGTGGACAAGCCCAAGTGGATTTCTTTACAAGCCTGATTTTAAAATTACGTACAGAAAATCTACAGGAACTGGGATAATTGCAGAAATGGAATATGGGGAAATAAAATATGGTGGGATAAACTGAAATGGCATTTTCCATGCTTAATCACATTCAGAAGTTTTCATATAACACAGCCATTGACTGTGGAGACCAACCTGAAGTATATTAATTAATATTAATTAATATATGTGCCAATGCAGAATATTACATTAATTAATATACTACCTAATAGCCAAGGATCTGTCTTTACCAGATCAGGATGCAGAGGAAGAAAGTGGACTTTCAACATGCATTAGCACATGCATTAATGAAATTTTATTGTTTAATCAATCAGAAACCTACTTTTGTATTTCATAAGATTGAAGTAACAATAAAATGGACAGAACAATACTTAAATTTGATTTCATAACTTAATAACAAAAATGCATAGTTCAGAGAACACTTTATATTTCACTCAGAATCTCAATCCTTTACATTGTAGTTTCGGATTCTTGTTGTCCGCTGAGAAATTTGGGGCTTTCTGGAATGGCTGTAAGATGATTTGTGCGGTTTTAGCTTGGGCTGAACATCAAATTTAGACCCCCTGACCGTCAAAGGAGGTACTGGTGCCTGCTGTATAAAACTTGCTTCATGTTTTTCTGGAGACTCTTCAAGTCTTTCAGATTGATGGACAGCCTGGAATTTTTCTGTGAACCAGAAGAAGAAATTGGTATTATTTTCACATACAACCAAGGGCAGCAGCAGGAACACCTAATGGAAAGAGGACAATGTGCAGAGTATATGCCCATGTCACAAATCCCGATTTGTCACGCCCAATTTTGAGGGAGCCAATGTTGCTGCTAGGGCCAAATCACAGGAGGCAGGTCCAAGGCTGCACAGCCTGGGAGGCTCCAAATGACAGGCTGTTAAGTCACAACTGCTGCAAAATTTTTCCTTTTCAAAATTTTTATTCTGACAGAGTGGATGCACTGTTGTGGAATGAGGCATCACACCTGCCATCCTCATTTCCCAGACTGCAAGAGAAAGATCTTATGGGGACTGCCACTGGAGTGGGGCATGTAGAGAGAGAAAGCTGGGCAGGAGGCACAGCAGGAAGGCAATGCACAGCTCCCTTTTTCTTTCCCCAAAACATTTTACATGGAGTGTTGACTGCATTGTCTCCAGCTGGGTACCAGCACATCTCACAATTTCTGTAAAAAGCTTCGGAAAAAAGAATGAAAGGGGGAACTGTAGATTCTCTATATTCCTCCAGCTACTTAAAAGTGGTAGGAATGGGAGATATGGGCCCTGACTTCTTTCCTCTTTTAAGTGTGGGGAGGAAAGTGAGTGAAGGCAGGACATGGAAGGAGGAGAGAGGTGGTAGTGCAGGGAGTCTCTGGAGGGCATCATGCCCAAGACCCCTCAAACCTAGAAGAACCACTTCATGGAGCTGAACCAGAAGCCACACAATGACAGTGTCTGAGATTATCAACAGCTTTGCCCATAGTGAGGGCAATATCATCTATTTATACTTCTGGTTCTTATTACTGTGAAGCACTCTGAAAACCATTACAGAGAAAAATAGGTAAATAAATATTGTAAAATAAACTAATTAACTTTAATCAAGTTAAGGAACTTGAGGAAAAGATAACTTCATCTTACCTAGACAACCAAAATCTTACCAATAAATCACCTCTGCAAGTATTGACTAGGCCAGTGGTCCCCAACCTTTTTGGCACCAGGGACTGGTTTCATGGAAGACAATTTTTCCATTGGCTAGTGTTGGCGGGGGATGATTTTGGGATGATTCAAACACATTACAGTGGTGCCTCATACTTTGAATTTCAGGAGGCCGTTTGAACTCTGAATCATTTGAAGTCTGAATCAACTTTTCCCATTAGAAATAATGGAAAGTGAATTAATCCGTTCCCAGACTCTAAACAATATCTATTTTGATAAATTTGAACAGCAAATATGGCCTCCTGAAACAAATTAAGTTTGAGGCTATATACAAGGTGTGAACAAAACATATGGTGAATGTTTAAAAGATTACAGTAAAAGACACATTGCCATTAATTCCCCTCAAAATGTTCCCCCTCGCTTCGAACAGACTTACCCCATCATTCCTGAGTGTCTTTAGTTGCACTGTCATGGCTGTCTCGATGCCCTGAATCAATTCAAGATGAATGGATGCAAGACAAGATGAACTGATTCATGCCAAACAGATTCAAGACAAGATGAATCAATTCAAGACTAATCAATTCAGGACATCGAGGCAATGTATCTTTTACTGTAGTATATATTTTTTTGACTTGGGTGCACAACTGTTTTCGTTTTCGCTGTGACCATGTTTTTTTTTCATTCTGCTGCAGTTCAAACTTAGAAGCATTGTTCAAACTGTGGAGCAATCTTATCTCAATTCTTATGTTTGAATGCTGAATTGTTCCAGGTTAGAATTCTGTTGTGGGGCACAGTTCCTAACAGGCCATGGACCAGTACCGGTCCATGACCTGGGGATTGGGGACCACTGGCCTAGACAGTTGTCATATGCTATATCTATTTACTGAAATGAATGTTTCCCTGTCCTGAATGACCTTAACTTTTCCATCTAATAAAACAGGCAAGAATACTGCAATCTTCTACAAAGATTTCAACTGGTCTAGATGTGTCATATGATTGAGTGGATATACATTTTGATCATGTACACTGTGTTTCCCAGAAGCACATAATTTACATGCTTTTTGCTACTTTCTGACCTACTGTTACCACTTTTTAGCTCTATTACCACTTTACCTATAATCAAAGTCACTGCCTCTCATAATTACAAGCTCTTATTTTGATGCTAGGCATTGTCGAGTGTAAAATGTCAAATCAGAGTAAGTTAATATTTGTAAAATACTTGGAAGAAGAAAACTCTTACATAACACAGCAGAAAAATTGCATGCCTACAGCCAGAAAGGCATTCATTCCCCTTTGGTTAATATTCTATCCAGCCCTCTCATTGTCTGGTTCTTTACCCACATCATGGAGAAGTGTTGAAATTTTGTTCTACTGGCAAGAGTGAAAGGTAACATATGACCCAATAACATCTGGACCAATAATGAGTTATAATAAAATATAGTTCTTCAGTTTTCATCATCTGACATTGCAACACAGCATCTACTGCCGTTCTGACTATCTCCTGTTATTCTACCCTTTGGCATCTTTCTACAGACCACCGTAATTCTCTAAAAGCTGGCACTCTGAAAATAGAACAAGGCCATAGCTGTAACACCTTGAATTATTTCATTTTCCACATTTACACTGTTATTATCTATATAGTTTGATGTGTCAAAGGAGTAATTATCTCAACTGATAAAACTATATTCTGACAGGTAAGACAGGGAAGTCTAAGAAGTCTCAGTTTGGGATGGCTAGCCCCTAAAAGATAATGGTGTCAATGCTTCAGGTCATCTAAGAGGGACGGGCAGAACTTTGTAAAAAGCATGGAAGTCATATTAAGTAGTCTGGAATTACAGGGGGAAATGTGCACATTTGGAGAGGGCTCCTAGGCAATGTTCCTGTGCTGAATAATAACAATTATTGTTATTGGGGTTTTGTTTGTTTTAAATTGATGTGTGTGTGTGTGTTCTAATTTTTGCTTAATTTTAACTTACGTTAACCTCCCAGGGAGCCTCCATTACTGGGAGGTATATAAATAAATAATCGAACAAAAAACAATGGAGATGGTACATTGGCTCACAAACTTAATCTGTTCCAGGACTCCGGTCGTGATCCAAATTTTTTGTGAGCCAAGTCAAATTTCCCATAAGGGTCAATGTAAATAAGGTTAATCCGTTCTGCAACTATTTTTTGTTCTCACAAAAATTTGAAGCAAAGTGAAAAAGAACAACAAAGTTTGCAGCCATCTCCCCCGCCCCCAGCGATTGTGCGGGGGGTGGGGGGAGGCGGGCGCGGGCGCACTCAGGCAGGGAACATGGGCACAATCACGGCCATCTCCCCCCCAGCACGAAAGCAGCCATCTCCCCCCACCCCCCAGCATGACTGCGATCGCGCATGTGCAGGCGTGCTCGCGATTGTCACTCGATGCAGAGTTCGCAACCTGTGGCAAAATGTTTATGAAATTTCTGTTTGCGACCCGATTTGGTTGTAAACTGAGGCGTTCGTGAGCCGAGGTACCACTGTATATGCTAGCTTCACATAAGAACTGGGGAAGGTGAAGTGAAGTGTTTTTTGCTGAACAAGAGAATATAGAGATAGTGGGCATATTAGAACCCTTAGGTTTAAAAAATCAGTGGAAGGAGCTGATTTCTTCTCCAGCTGCTGTTTTTATCAGAGAAGATTATGTGGTCCCTCCTTAAAGTGAAGATTAAGTTCATATGAAGCTTGCATTTCCAAGTTAAGCTTGTATTACTCTGAACCTGATTTTTAACAGGAAGTGCAACACCATCTGCTTATTTATTTATTTAAAATACCGTCCCATACTTAAAAGTCTCAGGCCGGTTTACAACAAATTAGTCTAAAAAATAAAAATAACACTTGTCCAGCATCCAATGTTAAAATAGAAACCCACCACTAAAACAAGTTAACAATTAAAATACTGGGAGAATAAAAAGGGTTTGCCCACCAACAAATGGATAGAAGCATTGGTGCCAGGAGAACTTTTCTGGGGAGCGTGTTCCACAATCGAGGCACCACTGCAGAGAAGGCCCTTTTCCGGGTAGTCACCCTCTTGATCTCTTTCAAGGACGCCTCCTGGAGGAGGGCCTCCATAGGGCCTCCTACTTCCATACTACTCTTGGGGTTTGATCAACCAACAGCTTCTGAGCTTCAGTTCTGTTAACTGCATGTGGATTTCTCAGAAACATCTGGTTCATCACTGTGGGAAACAAAAGACTGGACTAGATGGGGGTTCCCTTTGGTTCTACTTCTGCAATTCTATACCATATTTAAATCTTTTCTCATGATATGCAAATGAGGTACAGGTGTTTCAGGCAAAAGACAGTTTGCTTCATAGAAGACCCACCAAAAGGTATGAAGTTTCAGCAGTCATAAAGAACAGCTCCCAAAATTCTGTTAAATTCCAGCATCATACTCATGTGTGGCCGGGAAATGGAATCCAAAATAGGGATCTACTATGAATGAGTGAGGCTATGCAAAGAGATCAGGCTCTGTTCTAAGTGAAACCCCAAGTGCTCTAGCACATAGTAACTATTCTTGGCTCATTATCAGTTGGGGAGGGCTAGGTGGGGCACTGTCCCAGGTTCAGACATTCGAAACCTCTTGAGTCACCACATGCGTAGAAGCAGGCTAGTTTGGCGTGACCTTACGTAAACATTGATCTTGATTGGCAGTTTGATTATATATAAGTGCAAAGTTATTTTACTGTATGTGGTAATATCTCACCAGGTGGAGAAATCAAATGAATCTCTTTCTGACAAGATATCTAATTTATCTCATTTATAATTTCTTTTGCAAGAAATTTCTTTTGCAAGCAATACCAATATTTGCTTTCTGCCACTGTTTGAGGAACACACCAGTTTGTCATGCACTCAAAGATAAAGGGACAGCTACTGCTTTTGAAACCTGGCCCCTAACAATAAAAAGAAACAAAATCTTACATAGATGTGTAAGTTATTTATTACTGTAATTTAAACAGACAGAGAGGTATCTGTGCTCACTAATCCATTTTAAAAAATTGGATCTG